TCTTACCCATTGCATTTGATGAGGTAATAAAAAGAGAAATTAGCATATGAAAATTTCAAAATATCACTTGAAATGTATTAAAATCTACAGAATTCCTACAGCAACTATAATAATGTCATTCTCCTTTTTCGTAAATGAATAGTTGAATAGTTACATTTTTTTTAAACATATTAAACCTATATTAATTATATTAAAAAAAATTAAATTTTCAGTTTTTTTACATAAATTTAGATTGTTGTTTTTTTTTTAATGTCTAAAATTTCTTATTTTAAAATTCAGATCTTGAAGCAGATACATGGGTGAAATTACTGGTTCAAGAATCATTTTTACCTCAGCCAGGTTTGGCCACTGGCGAACCGGATGTATTAAGTCCAGGAATACAAAAGGAGTTACAAGGTAAAAAATTGACTGTACTGATTCTATTAGAAAAATCTCAGCAAGGTAAAATATTTTAAATTTCTATAATAATTAACAAAAGTAATTGTTATTTTTATCTCCAAGTAGTATTGACTATTGTATAAAATTATAGAAGAAAAAAAAATTTAATGGCAGTGTAAACATTATATAAACATAAAAGAATATTTTTGTCTGCACTTAAACATCCCAAATTTTTCTGTACACAATATTTAATGTGATGACAATAAAATTTCTCGTAGTTGACTGGATTTCCATATTAAAATTACATATGTGGCACGAATGAAATATATTATTGCTTGCAAAATGATGTCTTTACATTTCAAGTGATTATTAGAAAACATGTATCTGTCATTACTTTGTAAATTTTTTAAACTAATGATTCATAAAAGCTGTTTGGGCCAGAAAATTTCTAAAATAGTTTGGAAATTATCTTGTAATAAATATGAAGAAATATTAAATTCTGAAGACTTGTGATTAACAGGTGTTTAAAGTAGCAGCAAAATTAAAATAAAATGCAAATTGATTTTGTCAAATTTTTATCTACTTAATCAGCTTAAGTATTGATCATTTTAATATTTCTAATTTAGTTCATCAGATGAATTACTAAAATTAATAAATCTTATCAAATTGCAAACTACATATGGAAAGAAATAATGGCCATACTAACTTAAAATGTTATATAATTATTTTAAAATTTGTGTTCAAATATAAATGTTTTAGTCAGTTTCAATAATCATAAACTTAATACAGTAATGTTTACATTGGAATTTGTTATAAATGCTTAACAAATCCCAAAGTAAAATATTTTAAATTATTATACAGTTTCCATAGATAAGGAGGTAAGAAGTTATTAAGATTACATACAGACTGCAGATTATATTTTAAGGAGAGACAAATATTTTTATTATGACTGCATCAATTTAAATTTATATGAGATAAACTTTAATATATATTCATTTGAAAAACTGAACTTGCAACTGGAACTCACTTATGCACAAATGAAGTCTCTGTAACCTATCTAACATGACATCTATATATTCTCCTTTTTTTTTCTGAAATATATGTAGTCATAATAGAAGATGAAAAACTTTCAGTTGCCAATATAGACATTTATGTCACTGCTTACTTTTTGAACAATTTCATCTACACATCATTCATTGTCATCTTGTCAGTTTGATGAAAATATTGAATTTAGATATGATTAGATCTGTTAGAAATTTAATTAAATTTCTTAATTATTAATAATAATATAATGTAAAGAAAAGTTACAATACTTCAGGATGAATTTTTTTCTTAAATGCTTTTAATAAAAACTTTGTTTTATCTTTGAAGTATCTAAAAGCTCAAATTTATTTTATTTTGATCTTATCTGTTTTCCTCTTAGAACAATTTCATGTTTATCTCATGCCAACACCCAAGTTAGACGAATTTGGCGAATGCTTACTGCAGGTAACTCATGAGAATATATATTTATGGGACATTAGTAATCCTAGGTTGAAATTGGTTGCTTGGCCACTCACTGCACTTAGAAGGTATGGCAGTGATCCGACAAAATTTACTTTTGAAGCAGGCAGGTTAGTAAATCGTTTTTATTTTAATACATAAATTTACAATTTAATTAATCCACAGTAATTATCTTTCTTAAAAAATAACTTTTAGACACTGTACAACTGGTGAAGGAATGTTTGTATTTCACACATTAGAAGGAGAAAAAATATATCACAAAGTACACCAAGCAACACTGGCAATTGCCGAAGCTCACCATCGGTTACGGAAAAGTGAAGACAGAGCAAACGGTGCAGTGCAGTCTCAGGTAAAAACGTTCTATCAAATTAAAGTATTGTATGTTTTAACTTAATACTAAATAAATTTTGTTTTCTCAACTCAGGAATCTTCAAACAGAGTATCTATTCAAAGTGCTCCCAGTTCTCAAGATACTTCTTCTTACAACAGTGCATTAGAACTGCAAAATTATTTTCAAGATGGTGGGCAAGTTGCCGTTGATGGACAACCGAGTACGAGTGGTGGTAACAAACAACAGTCTGGAGACGATGCGTTTCGCAAGAACTTACAAGTGCCACCACCATCATCAAAATGCAGCTTGCGTTCTCATTTATTACAATACACCTCAAAGCAGTGACAAATCACATCTTGAAATGATAGTAGAGAGATTTGTACAGATATGGAAACAGCAAACTGCATTGAAGTTGCATTTAAAAAGTACAAGTCACATTGATACACTTATATTATTGACTTAAAAGTCAAATTTTTCAAGGCAGACTCATGATAATTTTAAAAGACTATTGTTTATGTAAATGATTATTCAAAGTTATATTAACATACATACACACACATACATACATACACACTGTTTATAAAAGAATATACATTACTGAAATTCATAAGATTACTTCCGTCCATAGTTTTTAAAATTTTTTGTTGTAGAACTCCTTTCAGTTTTTAAATTTGTATATTAGAGGCTTTTTGAGAAAGGTCTTATTGAATGTTAGATGCTGTTTAAAATAGTTTATATTATTTAAAGGAATTTATATTTCCATTATTGGAAGGACAATCATTTTTTTAAAGGATTATTTTAAAAAAATAGAGTTTAATAGATAAAATTAACACATTTGCTACATTTTATCTAATAACTGTCATTTGTAAATGTGTACTGAGAGAAATGATTTCATGAAGGCCATGAAAAGAAAGTATAGGTCATAGCAATTTGAATAGCATGGCTGTGATTGACTTTCTATTTAATGCAGTTTATAATAAAAATTAGCTAGATAATATGTGTAGGCAGATGTGTTAATTTGTTATTTAATATTCTATGTGCAGCTGATAATTTTATGACAAAATATTTAACACTTGTTGAGATATATATATACATATATCTCCTTCAAGTATTCCTGAATTGGAATGTCTAAATAGATATTGATATTATTATTCTTTAATGCATTTGTAAAAATTTTTATTTTGCTAATTGTCTTTTTAATTTGGCATTCTTTATATTAATTTTTATAAAAGTAAACATCCCTTAATGCAAATGTACAGCTAATTCAGTTAATAGTGTGTGATATGACAAATTTGTTAATATCAGATTGTTTTGCATTTCTTGTTAAATGGAATTATCGTCATCTTCAATTGACAAATTTTAGTGTCTGTTTACTACCCCTGATGAGTGGTTTTTGTAAAGATATATATAAAATCGTGAATATCATTGCATTTCATAGAATTGTTTATCACATTTCAGATTTTTAAGTATTGTAAACTTTAAGATAGATATATAAAAACTTAAAATGTAATCATTTGAATAAAATATTTAAATAACAATTTATAGAACAATTTTTGTCTACTTTATATTTGTTTTTATTTTATAACTTTGCAAGTTATTTCAACTGTATGTACAGTTCTTTGAATTAGCAGACAATATTGACAGAGGAGTAACATTTTAAAGAGTTTACTCAACAGCTATTACCAACTGTCACAAATTCACACAGAGGAAAATATCTGTGCCAGGGATAGTTTCGGATATTAACACCCTACAGTTTGACTTGACACTTCTCATATAAAAATGCTATGCAACAACAGTTCATTGCAATAAAAACTGTCAAGAACACTTATGACCCATCTTTTTACGTAATTGGGTTTTGTGAAAAACAAAAATAGTCGATTAACAATTTTTACAGTTAGTCTGTGGCACAAAAGGATTGAGTTATTTTTGTAATATGCCACTGAACTGGTGCAAATTATATATAAATACAATTATGCAACATTTGCATTGCTCAAATTCTTTAATGCAGAGATTTTTAAAGAAATATATTTAATTCATAATTTTGATTTGAAGTTATATCGCTGGATACTTGATTCTTTTGAGATCTTATTCGTGATCCTATCATTGAGACCTTATTACAAATCAAATTGTGCTAATGCCATTTTGCACTTTATGCAGATCATGAGCGATATGTCTTTTTCAATGAAGATTTTTACTTTTAGATGATACAGATAAAAGGCAATATTTTTATAAAAAATTTGATTTTTTTTTTCTCTTTTTAAAGTAAGTGCTTTATACTAAATCTACAAAATTGACAAAACCCATTTTCTCTTCATATATATATATGTTTGTATATAAAAACAATATGGAAAAGGCATTTTGTATTTGTTGATAAAAAACTAGATCCTGCTCTGTGGTGGGTGAATCATGTATCACAAAATGTGGCTTTTTTTGCTCGATCCTGCATTATTATTGTAGCAAAAGGCACAGCTGACAAGATGGGAACACTGACACACTATTAGGTGTTATCAGATGGCATGACTCTTGAGTTCCATTGTGTTGTATCTTATGTAGGTTGTCCTTTGATGATATAGATACTAAACGATGCATTAAATATATAGGCAAATGAGGATTGTGTGATCACAACCAAATTGTCGTAGTTCAGTCGAGAGGATGTTCCGGACAGGAACGATTGACTTCAAACCAAGCATCGATACAACTACAGAATTAACCAAAATTACTAAAATTATTTTCATTATAACAAAATAAGTCTCAAAATGTTACTTATACTTAAGAATTATGAAATTACATTGTCAATTAGTACTTACGTTTTATGATATATACAAAGACAGGGTAATCTTGCAATTGTATCCCCTTGTAATAATTCTTCCAAGCAAATAACACATTCTCCTTTATCTTCTGTTAAAACATCCTCTGCAATATCAAAATATATGGAATAAATTATTTGATAATGTGAATTAACATGGTAAGAATAATTAATAGATAAAATTTGAAGTGATTTTAAATATACCATTATAAATTATTCTTGGCTTAGTGAGACACATGACTAAATGGCACTCTACGTCATCTGGTAGAACAAATTTGGAACAAACTGGGCATTTAATACCTGTAATGATTATTAAGATAATATTTGATCAATCAATATTTAAGAGAATTAATTTCCAAGAGAAAATTATAGTAAAAATATATAATTAATTAATTAAATTGTTTAAAACAGTAATGCCAGAACTCTGGTCTATAGACTAGATCCAGTCTACAAAGATGTTTGAGGCATTTGATTTAAAAAAATCATTTAGACTAGAGTTTTATAAAATTACATAATTCTCTAATATGCCTAACTAGCTCTTGGTTACATCAAGTCAGAAAAATAAATCTTCACATACTTTTACAGATAAGTCTCATCAGGGGTGTCTGTATACTGGGGCAAATTGTCACCCTTTGTCATTGGGTTTAAGAAAAGAGAAACCCCAGAATAGCTCTAAGGTTTCATTTTACTTTAAATTATACTGTATATTTTATATAACATATGTATGTATGAGGTCCTTTTTCGTAGGTTGTGCCCCCTTTTTTATCATCTGCAGGTGCCACTGTATCTCAACTTATAAAGTATTTTTTGTAAGATAGCAAGTCCTTAACTTGCATGAAATGCAGTTAATTCATTCTGAAAGTTGAAAAATATTTTATTTTGAAATTGTACAATATAGCCTTATCTTTTAAAACAAACAAACAGTTACTCTTGAGAAGAAAGAAAGAAAAGAGTTTTTGCCAAGCTGAAGCATTGCAACCAATGAATCCAAATAAAGATGAGGACTTAATGTTCTTCAAATATATAAATATGTTTGTGGCTTATTTATGAGCTATGCACAATTTGTCCTGCTGATAAAAATAAGTTTGGGTAGCACTAGTTTGAATGTTCCCTCATTAGTTTACATGCTTTTTTTTACATTTTGTGTGATTAGATACAATTATATTTATGACATAACTAAAAAATAATTGAATTTACATTCAAAATTATGATTCAGACGTGGGGAAAAAATTAATTTTTTTCCCCACATCCCACACATTTTTACGTAATTACTGTAGAGTGATATCATTAGATAAAATTTTTTGCATATTATATTCTGTAATAAAAATACACATTGATTTTAAGATCAATAAAATAAATATTTTTAATATGAGAAATTTTATTAGAAAAGAAAAATCATTTATTAAAATTAATTTTTCATTAAATTTCCAGAACAAATACAAGATATAATAAAAATTTCGTAATTGCGCAATTTGTTTTGATCTCTTACTTAAAAAGAAATATTGATTATTCAATTATCTTACAATAATTTAATTAAAGTGAAGTATGAAATTAATTATAATCATTAATAAGTAAGATATATATTTAATATTAAAAGTTTACAAAAATTTACTGAAAAATTTGTAAAATACATAAACATTTATTAATTATTACAAAAATTATATACAATTATTAAAAAGTTTAATTTTAGTATTATTATTAAATTATATATTTTAAAAAATTAAATTTAAAAAAATTTACTAAAGTGAATAAAAAAAATTCAAAATATTTTAAGTAGTTTTAAAAATTAATTATATTTTCAAAAGCTTTTTTTGAATGTATCAATTATTATTGAATTTAACCTGATTACTCTCCCTTCAGACTAATTAAACTGTTATCCTAATAATTAACTTCATCTTCAGTCAGACAATACAATCCCTAATGAGAGTGTTGTCAGACATGTCAATGCAGCAAAAGAACAATAACTGCTTTTGCCAATTATATTGGAATTTTCCAATTAGAACACTGCACATAACAGTGATAGTATACAGAATTCATTTTTGGAGTATATGAATAAATGATGCATGACATTAATCTTCTTAATGCAAGAGGATCTAACACAAAGCGGCTTATAATTGACAAAATTAAAATACTTTAAAAACAAATCAATAAAAAAATTTTGTGTGTGCAGCGAGATATTCTGAGTTAAAGAATAATTACAATATACTGGATATATTTTTTTTATTATGTAAATAGCAACATATTGAACCTGTTATATAATGACTAAATTATGTAAATTAATATTTTATTATATCATGTCATGATTATATCACTGGAAGTTTGCCATATTACTTTTAGTTTTATGCTGTGGCGAAATTTAACTTTTTTTTTTTATCTTAAGAATCATTTTACTAAATAATCAAAAATTCAATGTTTAGAAAGTTTCTGAACTTATTATTTCAAGTACACGAATTTTATATTAATAGATTTTATTTTGTTTTAAATACTGTCTATTATATTCATTTTTTAAAACTAATAATTAATAGTAGCATAATTCAAAATTATAGTTTTCTTATGGCTATTTATATATTTAATTAACTATATTAATATTTTAAAAGTCTCATATACTCCCAACTATCTATACAAATAACATTCTTTTATTATATACATAATTTTGTAAGAAAAATGATACTTGCTGGATAAGTTTATTGATTTATCTTTCATCTAATAATCTGAACAAATAGAGTAGCATAGATATTAGCAAACTATACATATTAGAATTAACCTTTTGAATATAAATGTGTAAGAATTAATTATATATCATGATATGATAAAAAATATAAATGATATCATTATTTTATCATTTTAATATTAAAAAAAAATGCAAAACTAAACTTTTTATATTATTATTTCATTTAATGGATATTTAAAATCAAATTAATTTTAAAGAAATAATTTGATTTGAGGAATATTCTTTAAATATATTTTAGTTAAAATACATTTATTTAAAAAGATTCTGTAGATCAAGTAATGCTGTAAGATGCAGATAGCTGTCAAGTGCTTGTGTCTGGAGATAGAGATGGCCCCTTTTGCCACTTTTTTTTTTTAAACAAATGAAATATGCAAAATGTGTCCTTATTAATGAAATGCATAAAGTTTTTATTTTTTGTTAGTGAAAATAACATTAATTAATAGGGGTAGCAACTATTATGGCCCCAAATTTCTCCAAGTTCAGGAAAAAATCTCCACCTTCCTCTCCTCTCTGGGTGTAGAGTATTGGAAACTGTGGTTAAATGTGATAGAGATATAAATTCCTAAATGGATGTCTAGTCTGACAAGAGAAAAAACAATTAGAACTGAGTAAGAGTTCAAAAATGGCTGTAATTGGAAAGAAAATGGAGTGCAGACAGCTGACTTAGACATATAGGACAATAGGAGGATTGATCCAATAAAAAAGGTAAGATATATTTGAAAAAAAAAAAAAATGTAGAGAGAAGAGAGTACTGAAAAACTTGAAATTAAATAATAAAAACAAAAATAGACAATATAGATAATTCAAAACAAAGGTATGGAGACAAATAAATCTGAAAACCGATTCCAAATAGTGTGGTGATAATTAATTAATATCTGAAAATAATGTTAAATTAACTGTTAAAAAAAGAAATAAAGTTTTCACAACTGGCAATGTTGTTAAAACAGTAATAATGATTCC